TGTGTGTGTGTGTGTGTGTGTGTGTGTGTGTGTGTGTGTGTGTGTGTGTGTGTGGTTGGTGGTATGTTTGTGTGTGGGGGGGTGTATTCTTCTGATATGAACTGTTCTGCAACAATAAATTTTACCATATCAAAAAAACGTTTTAGTTACATGTGTCCTTTTTGCTTTCGTTTGTTTCTGAGAGAGGGGGTCACTGTGTTAAAGGTATCTTTTCGGTAGGCACATACCTATCTGTTATGTGTCTATTTATTTATCATTCATAAGTTTGTGTGTCTAGTCAAACATTTTTCATAATGTGTAAATAGCGGCGAGAATACAAGTTGCGTATAAATTGAGTCCGCCGTCACTTCGTCTTTGTACTATTGATTATTTGTATATATCATATTTTTTCTTAATAAAAATACCTCTTTCCTCATAATCTCCGCAGAATGTGTCGATGTTGCTGTTTGCTGAACTTCCATCATGGAATGTCATAATGGTAGCGGAACAGTTGTGAGAACCTCGGCGCCACTCCCGACATCAAAATTGATCTAGAACAGAAAGTCAATATACATGTATTATGTAAATGTGGAAAAACATTTTTGCCCATCTTGATCAATTGGTCATAGTCGCACCTCTATTATGTAAACGAATGAACTATGTTGTATCAAAGAAAAGTTGAAACTGATGATCAAACGATACGTTCTTGTGAAAAAGCTTTCTGCAAAAGACGCCGATAGCAAAAGTGCAAAGTACTGAACTTCCAGTCGGGAACTGCTAGGCTTTGGAGCAATGGACCGTTTTCCAAAGACGTAATATAACACCGCTAGAGACGACTAAAGCTAGCCGTGTCACATATTCAGAACCTTCCCCCGAACACCAGCCGACCAAGGTTGGCTGAAGCCCCTGTCACACATTCAGAACCTTACCCCGAACACTAGCCGACCAAGGTTGGCTGAAGCCCCTGTCACACATTCAGAACCTTACCCCGAACACCAGCCGACCAAGGTTGGCTGAAGCCCCTGTCACACATTCAGAACCTTCTCACGAACACCAGCCGACCAAGGTTGGCTGAAGTTCGGGGGCAGCCTGACTAGATTGAGGCCACATGTGCACCTACCTTTCTATGCGACTTGAATCGAATTTGAGTTAAATTGGAGTTGAATTTGACTCCAAGCCACGCCCCGACCTACTCCCTAGCACCTATAACCCACCTGCTAACCATGGCCAAACCTCACACCAGAATATTTTAAACATTTTGAAATATTCGTCTGACGCAGCCGAACTGTAACCGACCTGGCCGGACATCAGCCAACTCCCAACCTACTCCTAACCATAGTTTATTAGGGGAGTTCGGCAGTTTTCTGGACGCCATATTCTAATCTCCCAGCAGGTCTTTCGGTGGGGGTAAGAGAGTATCAAATTGGCAGTCTGTAACCATTCCCTTCGGTGGCCACGGGAATGGTTACAGACGTCGACTGGCCAATTTAAACTGACCCCCCCCCACCGAAAGATCTGCTGGGAGATTAGCCATATTCGGCTATGTGTGACAGACTCTGCATAGAATACATGATACACGTCACGAACCTGTATTTCGGCACCCTTACATCGTTTATCGGTAAAAAGAAAGGCCTTGTGGAAAGACTTACCAGTATTAACCTGTTTTCATCAGTCCGGATGACCCACTCACAATAGTCAGACGTCGCATCCGTTGCACTGCTCACCTCCCCCCGTACTCCGGTTAGATAATGCACACATCCGGCCTCTGTCAAGAAATCGGCAGCTTAGTATCATTACCTTCACCATAGGGCTATGCATTCAGTTTGGCTATGGTGTGGTGACTGTGCATTTATGTCATAGATCGATTTTTATGATTTTGGTAGGTAAGTTACCGATGGAGAGACGAAAGTGAAGTTCGAAATTTTGCCTACGTCACTGCAGTGGACCTTTTGTTCTTGTTTTTAACCACCTTAGTGTGGCACTATTGCGTAGGATGTCCGCGCTCAAAGACAATGTTGATTACACTTTGCCGATCGAAATCTCAGTTTACTTGAACATGTAACAACAACAAGGCAATCAGAATAGCAGATATGCTCGACACAACATATAGGAGCTGCACGTATAGGCACCTAATACACAAACACTCGAGATAACACACACACATACATACATACATACACAAGCGTAAGTGAGCGTACACAAACATACACATACTAAACACATTTACTAAACAAAATCAAATCAAATATCGTTAGCCCAGGTCGCTTACCTCCATACGTAGGACACCAGGTCATGGCGCAGAACAGGAGACAGGCTGCGACAGAGCTGCCCTTCATCTTTAGCATTGTCAACACGCGCCCTGAAAACACGTCGTGATGTTTAGAGCTTATTCACCGTCACAGCACCGCCGACATCTGGCTGGAGTCTTATGTACATGTCTTCGGTCACACTAGAATAAGAGCCACCCTTAGGGCATGTTCAAGAGCCCGCATGTTTAGGTATCAATTACAGGAAATACCACCTGCAAATGCAGGTAAGTGCAGGTAAGTGCAGATTAGACTGTGCTTGTTATTCATGATGTCTACCTGCACCTGCACTGAGTTTACAGTATACTAGTACACGTAGGTGTTTGAGGATTTTTATTTGCCACATTGACTGTTACCAACAGGTATGAAGTATAAAAGAAATAGTGGCAATGGTTTCTGAGCAGGTTTAGTATGATCCATAGTACCAAAATTAGGAGTGGTGCAGGTACAATTTCTTCAGTACTGGGTGATAAGTGCTGAGGCTACGTTATTTACTGCTATTGTAAAATTTGGAACTTAAACATTGACCGACATTTACTACCGTTGGTAAATGCAGTTTTGAGCTTTGTGGAGGACATAGCTACGATACAGGAAAAACGTTCTGTAACATTGCGGATTAGCGTATACTACACACACTGTATCACTGGAAGAACTTACCTTATATGTCAATGAAATCGTTAATACAACAGTATGTGCAACGCACGACTCGACCTAACAATGGAATACACAATTACAATGACAAAAGCAATGACTAGATCTACAATATCAATTCAAGAATACTTCACAAATATGAGTTAATGAACGAGTGGGGACTCTGAGTCAGAAACTGCCCAATGTAACGTTAACGAGATCGTATGTAGGCTCCACCAGGCCTTTCTACGGGAATACGGATCGTAGAATTTGGCAAAAAAAGAGAGTGAAATTGGCCAAGGGAGTCCGGCCGCGGGGAGGTAGTTTCTTTCCCTCGGAAGCGTGGCCAGTCAAACCTACAAGGCGGCCAAACTCCCCTGGCAATTATTCTCCTATAGTAGTATATAGCCAGTGTAGTTAGAGACGAGATCGTATGCTGAAGCTAGGGTGACCGCTTTGGGTACATCGTTCTTTTCGTGCTTGTAACACCCATGGAAGCCTGGTGTCCACTCTATCGCAGGCTCTCTTCGGGGCCCAAACAGTTCCCCCCAACCCAGACTGGTCGCCCGTGAGTGTTACGCCTCTAGGGCTTTGGTAATACCGCCAGACTACGGGGAGTTGAGCCGAGAGAGGAGACACCAGATTGGTAAAGGGCCGCCCAACTCCCCTAGGGCTCCCCACGAGTAACTGGTCTAGGCGGGCGTACTGCTTTGGGCGTCCGAAAGGCACTGGATATAACGTTATAAACAGCCTCAGTTAACGACTCAGAGCTGATTACGACTTTACGATTTCCGGCTGATGTCCTATTACGAATTCCGTTGACTTTTGGGGAGTCTGCCTACGGATTACGACGACTACAAAGGCCTGATTACGCCTTACGAAAAAGGGCATGCAGGCTCTCCTGTAATATATAACTTCATTCTTTACACACACACCCCTCCCTTAAATAATAAATAGTAGTAGTATGTGTTTTACACGGAATAATCTTACCTTCGTGTGCGTTACCGTAGACCTGGGTGAGTCTTCCACGGCTCCGGTCTGTCCCGATCAGGAAATGGCTCAGGACAAAATTCGGTCAGTCAGGTGTAACCCGTGGTATCTCATGATGACGCAGTTTCCGACAGCCTCAGGCTTTGTGACAGGCTTCCTGCATAAGTCGTGTCTTCGGCTGACGTAGTTTGGCATAGTTTAATGCGGTTCACTTCCTTGTCAAAATAAGGCCACGCCGACTTAATTTTATGGATGACATCCGCGCGCGCATTGATTTTCGCCTGTTGTAAAAAAAAAAAAAGATCATGTCCACCGAGGCTCTGGCCTGGCTCTAGGCCTGGGTAGTCCATGATATGGGCAAAAATGTAAGTGTTCCCCTTGCCGCCGATGAGAAAACGTACCACATGGACACAAGAAAGGCTTTTCGTGGCATCGAACTAGACACGACAACCATGGAGGTGAGATTGCCTGAGGAGAAACAAACAAACTGCAGGAACCCCTGCCATCCCCTACCGCTTCGCCTCTATTTATTTATTCATTACCCTATTTGCAATTGATCGTGCAGGGACTTGACCAAATAGGGTGTGTGTGTTTGGGAGGGAGGGGACTTGAGGCCCATCACCTGAAACTCAACTTATAGCAGGACCACCAAGAAAATGCAAAAACAAGCGAAAACATAGCAGTGTGTGTTTCCATATTTGGAGTGTAACCATACTTGAGCATATTTTGTGTGGAAATGTTTTTGTATGTTCTTCAAGAGGGGGGTTGTTTTTAGAATTGAATTTTGGACTCATTCTTGAAGAGGGGATGCATTTTTTAAAGTCTTGGACAGACCTGTTACACAAAATTTTTTGTGGAAATGTTTTCGGCCATCGGACACTGGGCCGATGGACTAGTCCATTCTTGACTAGTGGAAACATGTTTTTTAATTAGTATGACAGGTTGGGAAGGCCCGTTTTAAACTTGAATGACTTGGATGGCAAATCTTTCTTCGGGCAGAAATTAGCTTGGAATGTTCTTCGTTTGCACAGGTGTGAGTTTAGAACATTTCATTTTATGGGGAGGGGTATAACTGAAATATTATCATCTTGTATTTGCTCCAGAGCAAATGCTGCCTTTCTAGCTATTGCTCATTTTTCAAGGATAGTCATCAGTTTGCTTTGATGCATTGTAAACCTTTACGTTATGTTATATCTTGGTTCAGTTGTAAAGTCCTAAATATAACCATTAACAGGTAATTACAATGCACTGCCCCGAGATCTGGTTGGAGATTAATGTCAACTATCGTGTAGGAGTGTTGAGAAACAGTAGAAAGACTCACCACTGCTTCACTGGTCGGTACTAAGCAGGCCGGGTTCGTGATCAATGCACTGAATACATTCGCTTACCTGCATGGGCACGGGTTATACTTAGATATTATTCGTTCGTGGATAATGACTTATTTAATATAATATAGGTTTTTTTTTCTTGTCTAAAGGCTGAAATGACATTTTGAAATAAAGTTTTTTTTTAATTCATATATCAAAAACAATAAAGATAATACTAATCATAATGATGAAATAATAACAATAATGATACAATTCATATCTGATCATAATAATAACTGATCATAATAAGTGATCATAATAATGAATGGTCATGATAATAAGTGATCATAATAATAAGTGATCATAGTAATAAGTGATCATAATAATAACTGATCATAATAATAACTGATCATAATAATAACTGATCATAATAATAACTGATCATAATAATAACTGAAATATAATATAATATAATATAGGGTTAATGACCCGCTTTCCTTCGGTGTATACAGTGTCATAATTCATGGTCGGTTCCTATAACCACCGAATGAACGACCGAGTCCACGAAGCTAGTCTTTTTATCAGAAGGAATAATTGCCTAATGCCTACTTGACTTTCTTGACCTCATGACGTAACTGCTATTATGTAACAAAGTCTTTGACCAAAGAGAAATTAGTAACTGTCCGTTCAACTGTCATGGAAAAGAAGCTGTCTCGAGAAGAATAGCTATCTTTCAATGATATTGCCTCAGACGAATCAGGCACGTCCTTAGGTAGACAAACGTCATGCTGCCATCTCTGTGTTCTGTGGGATCTACTTACAAAATCAGTCTGAAAAGTTTAGTACCTTCGTCAAGAAGATTATGTCTTGGGGAGGTGTATGTGTGTATGTGGACTCAAGAAAGCTTATATAATATGGCCTTTCGTGATATTTAAAAGGTGGGTATTCTTAATGAGATGTCGAAACGATTAGATCCCCCTGGCGGCTTGTTGTGGTACTGCAGCGGAACAACCGGTTTTGATATCTTTGGACAAGGTAGGGTCACGAATTTTGGACAGTACTTACTTATTTTGGACAGTAGGCAGGCTTTATTGGGTAGGGCTATTTAGTACATACAGGGACAGTCGAGACATTTAAGAAAAGTAACAGCTGCCAGCAACCATACATATTGAAGCAGTATGACACACACATGAAAATTTACACTCGAGGAAAAGGTAAACGGGGACAACGTTTTACCCAAGGACTACGTACGTATTTACATCAGCTTAAAAATAAAAAATTCAATTCACTTCTCAATATGTAAGAAAATTATACCCATTGAAGTCTGTTTTCATTAACTTGTATTCAGCTTGTAGTTACCGAAACACCTATGTATTTATCTATATACATATATGATTTGTCTAGGCTGCAAAAAGTACTTATATCATTTTCTTTCATTTCATATGTTTTAATTTTGTTCAGCAAAAGCTTTACATCACTTCGGTCCCAGTTCGCGGTCCAGTCAACAAGCTCCCAGCCTGAGGTCGGGCGTGTTGTCTGCTGTACGGAGATTTGACTAGTGGCATCATGTCGGGTCGGCAGCAGCACCAGACTGGCGACACTGGTGAGTTTTCATGATGTACTGACTTCTTTTACCACCTTTCAAATTTACAGTCGCAGTGTTCAGTGTATCTCTCAGTCATGTGTCCTTTCTTGTACCTGTGCGTTCCCCTACTAAAACTAAAACCTAATCCTTTTTGTCGTTTTAGAGGTCTTTTTTCCACATTGACTTTCTTTGTATTGTAAAGGCCAAACTTATTCTACTTTTGACTTCTGTAATTTTTACTCCAGGCATCACGCCCATACAACAGTCTCAGACTGTTTGGTGGAGCTCAATTGCGAACGCAGCTGCAAGTAACGCCAACCCCTTGTATAACTCCAGACCAGGTATTGTTTGGGCGTGTTTGTGTGTGCGTGTGTGTGTGTACGTGTGTGAGTCTGCGTTTATGTGCCTGACGTGTATGTTTGCTTGGTATTATACGTATTCAATAGGATGGCAGCAAGGGGGGTGGTAAGGTACGTGTGTGTGTGTGTGTGTGTGTGTGTGTGTGTGTGTATGTGTGTGTGTGTATGTGTGAGTTTCCGCACATTTGTAGTCAGCATAACTTCAGAACGCCTTTATGGATTGTGATGATATTTGGTATGCTGGTAAGTCTTAGGAAGCCAAAGGTAAAGGCCAAATATGGACCTCCTGGTGGATGACCTTCGTACTACAGCAGAACTTTCAGGTTTTCGTATCTTTTGCCCTGAACATGTTATGGTCTTGATGTGACAGATAGCTTATCCTATCAGGAATAAGTGGTGTAAGTTTGATCCCCCTAGCGGCTTGTTCTGGAACTGCAGGTTAGTTTCTGGTAAAAACTTTTAAAGCCAGATAGGAACAACATATTTTCATTATTTTTGGTATGTAGGTAGCTGAGAGAGAGTTGTACATAATTAAATGCAACTTATGCAAATGAGGACTTAATTTGCATAATCAATGAGAAAATTCTATAATTACAGTGTTTCATAATAGTACTGCTATACGTGTAATCTATTTAATCTGTGGCAAGCGGCACATTAACAGATACCAATTATGCAAATGATGACATAATTTGCATAATTAATGTGAAAACTCACATAATTTGCGAATGATGGGAATTTTATACCTTGTGACATGTGCAAGTTACTTAAAGGTAAACACCACTATGCATATATTATGTTAATGTAGAGGTCATTTGCATATTTAATGAGGACATGTCATTTACAAAAACTCATATATTTCATGTAGGTATGAGTTCTACGAATTCTTGTTTTGTTATGTTTACAATGACATTTAGCCATTTACTATAATAACGCTCGTTAATTACGTAAATAAATAATTTTTGTTTTTTTTGGCGAATACTATGCTCGTTAATTACATGTAAATAAATAAACAATTATGAATATACCATATGTTTTGGGAAATACTATGCTCGTTAATTACATGTAAATATATAAATAAGTATAAACATACCATATGTTTTGTAAATAAGCGACCTCCGCTGCAGTAACTGACAAGACGTCGGATGGCGGTTTAAACAAATGGCTGAGGACCGCCTGGAGCATTGTCCGAGGTCTGTGTAAAAAGCTGTGGACCGCCTTAACCATTGTCCTAGTTGTGGGTATCGTCATTCTACAGTCATACTTTGCAGGTCAGTTTCTTAACACTTTCTTTTTATCGTTGTGGTATGACGTTCTTTTACTGCCATATTGTGCAGGTTGGTAATTGTTATTCTTGATGGAAATGATCATATTCACGGGAGCACTTCAGAAATTATCGTGATTTTCTTGTTTCTTTCTGTAGTTAAAATGACGACTCTCTCTAATGAGATGGCTGAGCTTAGAGCACAGGACACGAAAATTAAACAACGCTTTGTAGAGCTTGAAGGTAAGTGGTATGTAAAAAAAGAGGAATGTATGAATTCTATATCACGAGATTAGTTATTGGAGGGTACAAGTTCATTTTTAGTATCATATTCATTTTTAGGCTCATATTATCTTCATTGATAAACAATGTACCTGATTAAAATGTATTAGAAATAATTTTATGCGAGTGGCCCTAAATATTATATTTTGCCTGCCATGACCTTAGGCCCTCTAGGAGAGAAGGGGCCCATGGGGCCAGCTGGCCCTGTGTCTGTCGGGCCTCCTGGGCCACCTGGACCTCCAGGGTTGATGGGGCCAATTGGTCCTCCTGGCCAAAATGGAACCTCCATCTGTGCTAAAGTTGCCGGATCACAAAAATATCCTCAAACTTCAGCCTCAGTCGAGACGAATAAAGGTAAAACGTTTAAATAATCAAATAAATATTAAGATGTGCATGGCTTAGCTGTTTTCCTACCTTTAGTTTTATCATGGTGATCATATGTGATAAATATTGTTCCAATACAAAAGACAAATGTTCTCACCTAGAGCTAGACTTGTCGAAAGCTCTATGTGAGAACATTTACCTTTTGTGTTGGAGCAAAATCTTAACTGTAAACATGTAATTACCAACACACGAACTTCACTATCAACTATTCAATCGCCATGAATGTATCATTATTGATGCCAAACATGGTTTTTAGCATCTTGTCCTGAAGGTTACACTATGTTCCGTGAAGCCTGCTACAAGGCGTATGACACCCTGGCAAACTATGGGGACTCAGTTCTGCACTGTCGCGTGGATGGCGGCACCCTTGCCATGCCCCGAGACGCTGCTACAGACGCTTTCCTCATCTCTCTCAAGAACGCCTGGTTTCGTCCTGGAGCCGGCAAAATGAACTTCTGGATTGGTCTTCATGATCGATACAAAGAAGGACGATTCGAGTGGATGGATGGTACTGCACTCGGGAGCTTCAGGTCATGGCGTCCGGGAGAACCAAATAACTACTGGAATGAAGATTGCGTCCAATACTGGGGCGACAAGTGGAGTGACGGCAAATGCAACAATCTGCAATCCTTCATATGCCAAGTGGCATCAGGTACTCCGCACTTCCATTGCTACCATCTCTTGACAGTATTCCAAACAACCAGCATCACGTTCACCAGATTTAAACTTAACCATGCTCATAAACCCTCACCTGATCAATTCTTCATACATTAATTACTAAAACCCTTTCACACATCATTTCTATTGATTTCGTTGTTAGTACAAAAGACTAATCGTCCAGGGCTCATATAGAAATACAAACACATTGATGGTACCTTTCCCTATTCCTTTGCAGGACGCCCATAAGCGACATGCCGAGCTCTCATCATCTGTGTTAAACAGCAGTAAAGTTCAAGAAGTCAGAATACAAGATCTCAAAGTGAATCATTGGGCCATTTAAGTCAGCTTGTTTGTGTGATATCTGCATAGTAACAATAGAAGTAAAATGGATGTGTATAGTAACAATGGAAGTAAAATGAATCTGCATAGCAACAATGGAGGTGGAATAAATCTGCATAGTAACAATGAAAGAAAAAATGAATCTGCAAAGTGACAATGGAAGGAAAGTGAATCTGCAGAGTAACGAATGAATCTGTGTGTATAGTAAAAAAAAGAAGTAAAATGAATCTGTATAGTAACAATATATGGAAGTGAAATGAATCTGCATAGCAACAATGGAAGTGGAATGAATCTGCATAGTAACAATGACAAAACTGAAAAGTAACAATGGAAGGAAAATTGATCTGCATAGTAACGAATGAATCTGTGTGTATATTAAAAAGAAGTAAAATAAATCTGCATGATAGTAACAATTTAGTAGAATTGATGTGCATAGTAAAATGGAAGTAAAGTGATTCTGCATAGTAACAATGGAAGTAAAATGAATCTGTATAGTAGCAATGACACTATAATGAATCTGTATAGTACAAATGGAAGTAAAATGGATCTGTATAGTAGCAATGGAAGTAAAATGATTCTGCATAGTAACAATGGAAGTAAAATGATTCTGCATAGTAACAATGGCAGTAAAAAGAATACTGTATAGTAGCAATGGCAGTGAAATGAATCTGTATAGTAAAAATGGAGGTAAAATGAATCTGTATAGAAACAATGGAAGTAAAAAGAATCTGTATAGTAGCAATGGCAGTGAAATGAATCTCTATAGTACAATGGAAGTAAAATGAATCTTCATTGGAACAATGGAAGTAAAATTAATGTACATAGTAAAATGGAAGTAAAATGATTCTGCATAGTAACAATGGCAGTAAAAAGAATCTGTATAGTAGCAATGGCAGTGAAATGAATCTGTATAGTACAATGGAGGTAAAATGAATCTGTATAGAAACAATGGAAGTAAAAAGAATCTGTATAGTAGCAATGGCAGTGAAATGAATCTCTATAGTACAATGGAAGTAAAATTGATCTGCATAGTAGCAATGGAAGTAAAATAAATCTGCATAACAATGGAAGTGAAATGGATCTGCATTGGAACAATGGCAGTGAAATGAATCTGTATAGTAGCAATGGAAGTAAAATTGATCTGCATAGTAACAATGGAAGTAAAATGGATCTGCATAAGAAAAATGGAAGTGAAATGGATCTGCATAGTAACAATGGAAGTAAAATGAATCTGCATAGGAACAATGGAAGTAAAATTGATGTGCATAGTAAAATGGAAGTAAAACGATTCTGCATAGTAACAATGGCAATAAAAAGAATCTGTATAGTACAATGGAAGTACAATTAATCTGCATAATACAAATGGAATTAAAATGAATGTGTTTAGTAGTAATAGAAGTAAAATGAAGCTGTATAATGCAAATGGAAGTAAATTGAATCTAATCTTCATAGTAACAATGGAAGTAAATGAATCTGCATAGTAACAATGGAAGTAAATGAATCTGCATAGTAACAATGGAAGTAAATGAATCTGCATAGGAACAATGGAAGTAAAATTGATGTACATATATAGTAAAAAGGAAGTAAAATGATTCTGCATAGTAACAATGGCAGTACAATGAATCTGTATAATACAAATGAAAGTAAAATGAATCTAATCTACATAGTAACGGTGGAAGTAAATGAATCTGCATAGGAACAATGAAAGTAAAATTCATCTGTATAGTAATTATGAAAGAAAATTTAACCTGCAAAGTAACAATGGTGGTGAAATCAATCTGCAACAATGGAAGTAAAATGAATGTACATAGTAACAATGCATGAAAAGACTAACCATGTACCTTTTTGAGCCACTATTAACTATAAGCAGAAACGTATGTATTTTATGTTTAAAACACATATTTCAACTTTGTTTATGTCTTGAATTTAGAATTGATTTCTAATCTTTCACCTCTATCCCTTTGGATATGCCTTATTGTAATTCTGTATGGTAGAATTGTAAGTGAAATAAATTTGCGTGGTATTTATTGTAGTAAAATAAATTTCTATAGTAACATTGCAAGTGAAGTGCTTTTGTGTTTGGACACTATCCTTTTAACCATAAATATTTGTGCCAGGCAGTTTATGACGTCTATCGTGTCATGCTTTTTAGTGTTGGTTGTTTTAGCTTGTTGTGGTACTGCAGCGGAACCCCCGGTTTTTGGATAAGGCAGCAGGGTCACGAATTTTGGATGGTAGACAGCTTTGTAGGGTAGGGCGATTTACTTACAGGGAGACAACAAAGAAAAATAGCAGCTGCCAGTAACCATATATGTTGAAGCAGTATGACACACACATAAAAACTTACACTCGAGGAAAAGTTAAACTGGGATAACGTTATGTTACCAAAACCAGCTGTATAAATGTATGTAATAGAATGTGAAAGGTCTTCTCGACGAGAAAGAAAATGATGCCCATTGAAGTCTGTTTTCATTAACTTGTTTTCAGCTACCAAAGCAATTACGTATTTATATATGATTTGTCTAGGACGTCGAAAAGTACATGTACTTAGTGGCTCGTTCTCATTGAAATGTACAAAATGGTGATTTTTAGGATCGAAAAATTGATGAACTGTTTTCTCAGGGAAACCTACCTTATTTTTTAGGGAAACGTCCCAATTATTGATTACCAAAAAAGGACAGCTTAATTTCCATGGGAACTTCCCGAAAATTTATGCACTTAGATAAGACATATGTAAACAATGCAATTTTTGGGCGGCAAAAACACTGGAACATCAGCTGCAGCATGAATTGGGTGTACGATAAAGCTTGTATTCATGGCATCACTTCAAAAGCCATTAGTTTAGGCGTCAGTATCTATAAAAGTACTTCCGTCAGCCCATCATATACTGGTAAATATACACGTATCTAACACATAACGATATCTAAGTGTATTGTATAGAAGTAGCAATTTTCGTGAAACATAGTAAGTATGTGTAGAAATCAATGATGAGGTCGTGATTTGGCTCATATCTAGTCGTAAAGAGGGTCGACAGTATTTAGTACATTTGAATGAGAACGAGTGTAGTATCGTTTACTTTCATCCCACTTGTTTTAATTTTGTGAAGTAAAGCTTTACATCGGCCCCACGCCCAGTTCACCGTCCAGTCAACAAGCTCCCAGCCTGAGGTCTGGCGAATTGTTTGCCGTACGGAGACCTGACTAGTGGCATTATGGATATCGTCTTCCCAACAGTAACCTACCTACCAAAAATCCTGAACATTGATCCATGCCTTCAAGAGTTATGTCGCATTAATCCAAAGTCAACCCACCATACAACATCAATTCTGGGACTAGATGGAGCATGAGGAGCGAAGCAACCAGGCACAATACCAACCCCCATCCCCCGCCGGAAAATTGGACTGTTCCAAAATATCATATTGGAATTTGGAGTAGCTGTAGAGCGAACCATTCCGGCACAATCACTCCCTGTCGGAAAGTGGACTGGTCCAAATCACCATATCAGAGTTTTGTACATATCTGTAGTAGACAGTAGGTGTATATAAAGACACATAATTGGGCACAGTCACCCGCCCGACTAGAAGGTAGACTAGTCCAAAACATATATATGCGAATAGAAGTCCTGCGCACTTTTCCCCCCGCAGGAAATTGGACTGGTCCAAAACATCATATTGGACTTCCTTGTGGATGTGAAGAGAAGCAGTTGGGTCCAGTCACCCCAGCTGTCGTCGCGCCCAAGCGTTTCTGTCCTCCTCGGAGTGACCTGGTGTGGCGAAGTCTTCGCTCCGTGGCTGAGTCTGACGGCACAAGTGGTCAGATAGATTCTCTGTGTGGATACGGACTACAGGCACCGGGCAGTCTGCTGGGGCGTCGCTTGGCACACGATCGGTAAGTTCCTAGTAGTTTATTTGGGTCAGTTTAGTCCGTAAATTTTCCGTGAAGCCTTTCCTTTGTGTTTAATTCTTACAGACCAGTTTTGTGTGAGGATTTTGATAGTCCATCAGGCTATATAAACTAAGCTGGCTGAAAAATAATGAATTTACCGAGTCGGAAATAGTTAGAGTCAGGAATTTCTAAACAAAACTTGTCCGGGTAGCCCGAATGCCACACCCATAGCAGATCATAGCACGCTAGGCACAGAGTGTAACTGAGGCGGCTGTGGTATGATTTTCTTGGGGACTTGGAGCCGGTAGCCGGAGAGCTAGTCTTTTTAAATGCCCGCTGCCAGGGGCACACAAGGCTCAAAGGTCCACTTTTTATCTAAAGATCCGAGATTTTTCTTTAAAATAGGGACTAGTTTGTATCACAGGCGGGGCTGGACTAAAAAAATGTTCACTTTGTCATTGAATAAAAAGTTATATCTGATTTTTCCTTTGAAATCCTCTCAAAAACGCAGGACAAATGCCAGTTCAGAAGGTTCAATTTTCAAACATTTTCCGGGGGAGCAAGCCCCGGGACCCCCTAGGAAGCTCGTTCTTTTTTGGCTAGTGAACTTTGTTGTTGTCTCCAATGTAAACATATGCACGCCAATGTTGCAGGGGGCCACCGCAACGTTTTCAATATGGGCCGAACAAATAAACGGTGGAAATGTCAACTAACATTTCACATCGAAAGGAAATACTAGTAGGTAGACCCAACACAGACCCGCAACTGTGCCAAACCAGGATGATTTCATGTTTACATATTTTATTTTCGCCAGAAACAACATTCATTCATATATAATGAATGAATGAAAGACCATTATTGTACATTTTTGCTGACTGCGAACTAAGTACAGATTATGGTAAATAGCGATGGCTGACTAAAATATATCTATAGTAAAACTACATATGTACAGGTTCTGCTTCTTCTCGCTTCTTAAGACAGTTGTAAATGTAAGAACAGATGGGGCTTATAGTACGAGGATTATCAAGTTTCATGAGGAAACTAAATTTTAATTTTTCTTTTCTATCTAAAATATGAAAAAAATGGCGCCTATAAGAAAGCTGTCAGATGAAGAGAACCTTACAATTTTCCACCCCGAATCTGCTTGAAGATTTAACCATTTCTACGACTACTAAATTGAACGGTTATTTTATCTGGCAGCCAGCCGTGACCCGTATCGCCTTAAAGGGACATCATGTAACATTTTACAACAAAACTGATATAGTTTAATTGAGAAAATTTAGATTTTGATGTGATTGTAACTTTTTTCAACATATTTGTGTAATTATGTCACACTTCTGACATTCGGGTTGACGCTAAAACAGCCCACACGACGTGCACACATTTTGTGGCACCACAACAAAATACCATATCAGGATGTAAACAAACATGGCTGACAGCCGTGTTTCCAGCTTTTAAACACACTCGTACCGTGTAATATTTTGGCACAGAAACTTCCTCAATGACACTTATTTACACTGGAGTAGAGTTGATTCAATTTAGGCTACAGTAAGTAATTTTTATGGATGACATCAACGCGCACTTTAATTTTCGCCTGATTTGGGGGAAAAAAAGATATTTTGTTGCCTTCTGACAGTGGTCAACATGCCGAAAATGGGCAATGATGTCTGTTGCCATGCTGGAAGGTGGATGGCGGATAACTATGAAGACAGGAGACAAGAAAAGGCTCTGATTTAATGTTTTGTTTCTTACTTTGATGCAGTGATATGTGATGCTAGCTGTGTATATGTGATGTCCCCACTTGCAATTGAGTAAAAATTTGACAATTTTGTTTTGCCTTGTTTTCTTTTCGCCCGCTCGCATTAGATTTGGAGTCTGCGGAGGATGTCATCCATAAAATTTTCTTGCTGTGGCCTTACTTTGAGAAATTTAAATTGACTTTTTGTATCGTACTAGTATTTTAATGTTACACGATGCAGTATTAACAACATCATATCGAGGAACTAGGATGAATCTGGTGTTTACATCAAACTGTCAGAGTTTCGGCAGCTGTCAGTGATCCGTGTTAGCCTAGGCCTGAATACCGCCTCCACGGGCGGACCGCTTTCGTAAGTTTCCTTGTAAGAATGATAATCCTGATCTGGTGTCTACATCAAAGTGACAGTCTTTTACTCCAGATGTCGGTTGGCGCCGGCTTTTGGCAGCCTACTGAATTCCGGGTGGCCACGGGAGGACCGCTTTCTTAAATTTCCTTTAATTTTCCTAAAAAAAATATTATAATCTTATCTGGTGTCTACATCAAAGTGACAGTCTTTTACCCAGGTCTCCGATAGCGTGTCACTCTGAATTACCGCCAACACGAGGGGTTTGGGTCCAGCAAGACAGGGTGCCACTATATCTGTGCGGGCCGCTTTCCTTTAAAGATGATAAACCTTGTCTGTGATCTAAATCAACCTCAAGGTTTTCCTCAGCCCTGGCAGTAAGCGGTGACCGCGGCCTTGTCACCCTGAATACCATCACCAAAGGGGGGCCCAGTGAGACGGCCGACCACCCCGATCGGACTGCTTTCTGAGTTTCCTTTTAGGCCACACCACCTTAATTTTATGGATGACATCCTCTGAAGACCCCCAAACTAGTGCGCGCGGGCGAATAAAAAAACTTCAGGCCAAAAATAAACATGCTACAAAACCATAGGAATACAAAGCTGGTATTGTGAATTTGCGGCAGTACATAGCGGCGTATACGACAAGCCGGCACATGCTGGCTTTTTGCGGAATTTATGAATCGGCACTGTAAGTAATACTGAGTTCTTGAGCCGTGGAGCTTCGGTAGCCTTCGTGCCATCCTTCAGTTACCACCGGCTCCGTATTGCCGTAACTACCATAGACTACCCAGGCCTAGAGCCAGGCCAGAGCCTCGGAGGCCGTGATCTTTTTTTAGAACTGGCGAAAATGAATGCGCGCGCGGATGTCATCCATAAAATTAAGTCGGTGTGGCCTTCATAGAATGAAAACCTTTATATCTGGTATCTGCATCAAACCGGCGGCATTTCGCTTCATCTTCAAAGTTACCTTTTTCTCCCGAAGGCGCTTTTCCTGTGTCACTTCTTAATGAAATAATCTTAATATCAATTTAAGAGCAAATGTCTGTAAGGATCAAACAATGGTGGCAGGGGTCAAAAAATCGATTTGGCTCAAATTTTGTACAGTGATAGTACTTGGCCCACAACCCCTCAAAATAGCTTTCTTTCTGCTCCACACCGATCGTTTCCATGGTAACAGCCCAAACATGTTTTGGGGCCATTTTCCATGATTTGGGCATGCCAGAAACATGAAAATTGCCAAAGTTTAGGACGCGATTACAAACAAATGCTTGAATATATCGGAAAGACAAAAACTGTGCTGAAATGTCCAACTTATCTGCTTTTCTAAAATAGCTTTAAAATTTTCAAGAGGTCCGTTTTAAGGGTCTGGGCATCCTTAAGACAATACAGTGTTTTGGGCTTTTGAAATATCCCTATTTCTGCCCATCTTTGAAGCGCCGTAACTTTAAAGATGGTGATTTTTTTTCTTTCAAAATGTAATAACAGATACATGATTATATGTGCTATAAAATGCATGTATGTAAAGTTTGGCCAATAGTTTGGTTCTCACGTGGTTGTCCTCGGAAGTAGGTCATATTTTACATTTCAAGAAAAATACAAATTTGTGTCATATTTAAGATACAATATATACAATACGAAAATAGCAATCTACTACTACTTTAGATAATAAGTAATCCTATTGATTGTCTATCAAATAAATGCTTGTGGAGGTTGGAGTCTTGTTTCATTGCTGTGTACTTGTCCCTGAAAGTAGGCCATGTTTTGGACATGTGTTAAAATTATCATTTTGGGCTATCTTTGAAGCTTTACAACTGACAAATTAGGATGTTTTTTGGATCCAATCTTTGTAGGGTAGTACATACATGTACTGTGTATCGAATGATATCTTGTTGAGGTTGGAGTCTTGTTTTGTTGTTGTGTTATTGTCCCAGAAAGTAGGCCATAGTTTGGACATGTGCGGAATATTATCATGTTTGGCTAGCTTTGGAGCTCTATAACTGACAAAGTAGGATATTATTTGAATTCAATCTTTGTAGAGTAGTAAATACTTTTATTGTGTATCGAATGAATTCTTGTTGAGTTTCTGTAATTGTCCCAGAAAGTAGGCCATATTTTGGACTTGTGATTAAATTAACATTTTTGTCTATCTTTGAAGCTCTATAACTGACAAAGTAGGATGTTTTTTGGATCCAATCTTTGTAGGGTAGTACATACATGTATTGTGTATCAAATGATATCTTGTTGAGGTTGGAGTCTTGTTTCGTTGCTGTGTACTTGTCCCTGAAATTAGGCCATAGTTTGGACATGTGCGGAAATTTTCATTTTTGGCTATCTTTGAAGCTCTATAAGTTAAACTGACAAAGTAGGGTGTTATTTGAATCCAATCTTTGTAGGGTAGTACATACATGTATTGTGTATGGAATGAATTCTTGTTGAGGTTGGAGTCTTGTTTCGTTGCTGTGTAATTGTCCATTAAAGTAGGCCATATATTGGACATTACAGAAATTGCATAATATACGGCTGTTTTTGAAGCAGTAAATATGACAAAGTAGTATTTTATTTGAATTCAATCTTTTAAGGGAAGCACATAATCATATGCATTTTGTAGCAAATGAATACTTGTGGAGGTTCGGGTCTTGTGTCGTTATTGTGCACTTGTCCCCATATTTAAACACAAAAGACATTAGCACACATGTGCATTTCCGTACTTGAAGCCCTATAAACGCCAAGGTAGGACGTTATTCAAATTCAATTCTCTAGCAGAAGTAACTTAATCTATTGCCCATGAAATGAAGGCCTATAGAAGGTGGGTTCTTGCTTAGCTGCTCTGTACTTGTCCCCAAAAGTAAGTCATAATTAGGACATATTCTATTGTTTTCTTGTAACTGTCCCCGAAAGTAGGAAGCATTGCTCACATTTGGATATATTAATAGTTATGTGTCATTTGAACATTTGGAAAAAATGTCTTTTATTCAAAACCAAAGCATTGTCTTAATCCCTTTGACATTTCTGTAAAGTTTCAAGAATGTAAGCAACCACACTAGGGACAATTGAGTTGAAAATAATGAAACACCAAAGACACATCATTTTGTGAAAAAGGTTCCAGTAAGCTGATACTTCATTGTTACTGTGATACTGGCATTATTACAGTATAGTAACTAACAGAACAAAGAAGGGCTATTCAAAGAAGTAGTTCAAGTTGTCATTTGCAGATTGTGGGAATATACATGTACATTTGCATCTACAATGTATCTTAACTGCAGTCGTTAGGATTGCAATGTTTCAAGTACCATATTTACAACACTACATCCTCAAAATATGATGAAGCTAAAATCATTGTTGATTCTGCCTAAAACCCGATGATCTTATGAAACAGCCTATCAACATCTGAGCAAATAATGCTTTCTTACCATCATCTTATCCCTACATGTACCTCTACAGAATTAATTTGAACAAGGACAAAACAAGACTATAACCTCCACAAGCATTCATTCATTTCTTTGACAATAAATATATTGTACTTTCCTTGAAAGATTGAATTGAAAACACACCCTGCTTTGTCAGTTATAGAGCTGCAAAAATAGCTAAAAATGATAATTTCCGCAGATGTCCATAATATGGCCTACTTTCAGGGACAATTACACAGCAACGAAACAAGACTCCAACCTCAACAAGAATTCATTCCATACACAATACATGTATGTACTACGCTACAAAGATTGGATTCAAATAACACCATACTTTGTCAGTTATAGAGCTTCGAAGTTAGCCAAAAATGATAATATTCCGCACATGTCCAAACTATGGCCTACTTTCAGGGGCAATAACACAACAACAAAACAAGACTACAACCTCAACAAGATATCATTTGATACACAATAAATGTATGTACTACCCTACAAAGATTGGATCCAAAAAACATCCTACTTTGTCAGTTATAGAGCTTCAAAGTTAGCAAAAAATGAATTTCCGCACATGTCCAAACTATGGCCTACTTTCAGGGACAATTACACAGCAACGAAACAGGACTCCAACCTCCACAAGATATCACTTGATATACAAAACATGTATGTATTACCCTACAAAGATTGGATTCAAATGATATCCTACTTTGTCAGTTATAGAGCTTCAAAAATAGCTAAAAATGATAATTTCCGCACATGTCCCAAGTATGGCCTACTTTCTAGGACAAGTACACAGCAACGAAACAAGACTCCAACTTTAACAAGATATCATTTGATACACAATACATGTATGTACCCCCTACAAAGATTGGATCCAAAAAACATCCTACTTTGTCAGTTGTAAAGGTTCAAAGTTAGCCCAAAATGATAATTTTAACACATGTCTAAAATATGGCCTATTTTCAGGGACAAGTACAAAGCAACGAAACAAGACTCCAACCTCCACAAGCATTCATTTGATAGACAATCAATAGGATTACTTTTAATCTAAAGTAGTATTAGATTGCTATTTTCGTATTGTATATATTGTATCTTAAATATGACAAAAATTTGTGTTTTTCTTGAAATGTAAAATATGACCTACTTCCGAGGACAACCACGTGAGAACCAAACAATTGGCCAAACTTTACATACATGCATATTATAGCACATATGATTATGTATCTGTTATTACATTTTGAAAGAAAAAAAATCACCATCTTTGGAGTTACGGCGCTTCAAAGATGGGCAGAAATAGGGATATTTCAAAAGCCCAAAACACTGTATTGTCTTAAGGATGCCCAGACCCTTAAAACGGACCTCTTGAAAATTTTAAAGCTATTTTAGAAAAGCAGATAAGTTGGACAATTCAGCACAGTTTTTGTCTTTCCGATATATTCAAGCATTTGTTTGTAATCGCGTCCTAAACTTTGGCAATTTTCATGTTTCTGGCATGCCCAAATCATGGATAAAGGCCCCAAAACATGTCTGGGCTGTTACCATGGCAACGATCGGTGTGGAGCAGAAAGAAAGCTATTTTGAGGGGTTGTGGGCCAAGTACTATCACTGTGCAAAATTTGAGCCAAATCGCGATCGATTTTTTGACCCCTGCCACCATTGTTTGATCCTTACAGACATTTGCTCTTAAGACGCCTTATTATTATAACAGGACCTCTTTTCTTCAATAACGTTATAAGGTGTTTCTTGAATAAGACAGACTTACTTCTCTACAGAAGAATATTTGTTGGACATACGTGTGCAAATTTGCTAATTATTGTAATTTTATAATTACTATATCCCTGTTTGTGTATCATTATATATTTGTTTATTTATTTATTTATTTATTTATTTATTACATATATTTATTTATCAATAACTAATGCCGGTGCTGGTGTAACCTGATTGCTTCTTTATCTTTTCTGTTTTAATAATGTTAATTTCTGTTTTGATAAAAAAAGATGTAAGAATTAATTGTAAGGCGAAGAACAGTTTTTTGTATTCTTACCGTTCTGTCCTCTTTTACAGACACTTCAAGGACAACCAAGCTTGCAAGATGGAGATACCATCTGTGAACTTAACTTCATTTGACCTTGACCCCAGCTTTTTCGACACGAACGCGACCTTTGTAGAGCTGGAGTCTGATCAGGGGTCTCCGGTCACCCCGGCTGTTGTTGTCATCAGCGTCATCGCTGTGTTGGGGTTTATCGGAAACACGGTGATGCTGATAGCTCTACTGATGGGCTACAAAAGGGGATGGAGCAACACCGATCTCTTCATCCTAAACGTCATCGTCATCGACCTCGTCGTGGTCAGCATCAGCGCGCCGCTGGCGGTTGTCGGGCAGGCGTTCCCGTCGTTTCCTCTGGGAGAGTCCGGCTGCAAAGCGGTGGTGTACTTTCCTTACTTCGGCAGCGTTGCTGTCCCCATGGGGGTCCTGTCCCTGGTGCTGAACGCGGCCACCCAGCGGGTTTTCCGCGCCCTCTGTCCCCGATGGGTCGTTTACACCGCACTCCTCTTCATCTGGGTGGTCGCCATCCACGTTCCTATCCCCGCAATCGTGCATGCTACAGTAACAAGTCTACAAACATATGGCGAAAACGTTTTCGTCTGCTGGACCGTGTGGCCTGGGGACAACAAAGTGTACGACACGGTGATCTTCGCGCTCTTCTACGCCCTTCCCTTCCTGCGCATCGTCAGAATCGCCGTCCGCCGTCAGGCGACAGGTCCCGCGGGTCCCCAAGAGGGGAGGCGTACGGACATCTTGATCATCATCATGGCTGCTCTCTTCGTCGTGATGTACCTGCCGTTTTACGTGGCTCATCTGTGCTTTAGTTACGGGTCGGGTTACGACACAATGGCGTTGATCAGTGTATCCAAGGTAGGACAGTGCCTGGTGTACCTCAACTCCGCCCTCAAGCCTCTTCTCTGCGCCTGTCTGTATGACCGCTTCCGGAGCGCCTTCATCCCTGGCCGCGGACGGGACGGACTGGCTGGTGGTACCGGCGACCGCGGGACGGAACTGGGCTCTCTGTAACCTCACTTTCCCTCCAGGGTCTTTTGAGACTCGTGGTATAAGAAATGAGTACTATCAATCTAAGTTTCAAAGTTAGGGAATGTTCACTGGCCTGGAACCACTAGAAAGTGATGAAGAGGCCACAGTAAGTAAATTTTATGGATGACATCCACGCCCGGATTGATTTTTGCCAGGTTTTGAAAAAAATAAAACAACCAAAACGTTCAGGAGTAAAAGACTTGTTTTAGTAGCTTTGTTACAGGTAGGCATCCTGTTTTTTTTGTCATCTTGTGTTTTTCGATGTCTTCTATAGAATTTACTTGTCGATGCCTGAAGTAGCAATGTGGTTTCACTGTGGAGCAAGTGAACTTTTTTCCAGCCGAAGTTTCGCTGCGAAACAAATGAACATTGAGCTGCCAAAGTTTCGCTGCAAAAACAATCAACCCACGCGAGGCGCACTCAGTTCGAGGTACAAACTGTTTTGGTGCAAAACGAAGAAACTTTGGCCAATCGAGGTTTCACTGCGAAATATTTGAACGATTAAAGGTGAGCCTTAGTAATGTAGTTTCACTGCGAAACAAATGAACTTTGAGCAGCGAAGTTTCGCTGAGAAACGAAGAAACAACCTCCACGAGGCGAACTCAGTTTGAGGTACCACCACAAACTACCAAGTTTCGGTGCGAAACAAAGAAACCTTGACCAGTCGAAGTTTTCCTGCGAAACACATTTAAACGATGTAAGATGGGCCTTAGTAATGTGGTTTCACCGCGAAATATATTGAACTTCGACCAGTCGAAGTTTCATCGCGAAACACATTTGAACGATATCAGGTGCCCTACTATTGTACAACTGATATCTTTTTCTCTATTGACATCGAATAACGTTAACCAGTTACTCTGTTATTGAATTATTCTGTATTTCATTTTTTGCATTAGTCTACTATAATAATGATAATCAACTAATAGTATATAAGTTTGTCTCATTGACTTATACTGCACTCCGGTGTATGGGCACAAATAAACCGATGCAATGGTGACAATATATAATGCTCAAAGTCCAATAAAGCAACGGAACTTTACCCTGCGAATGAACAGATCAGCGAAACTTTAACTGAACCATAGTCCGGCCCTGGGTAATGTGTCAATCATAATTAGCTACCCAGCCAATTAGAGGACAGGACTTGCTCGAAGGGCGCTGCTAAGGGGGCGTGGCTTCGGGAACGGTCTATAAGGTTCATCGGGTTGCCTGTGACAGATCAAACTTGTCAATGACAAGCGATCTTTTGGGCCTCGTATCTATATACAAGACATGATACTTATTGATAACAATGTGTATAACGCCTTTGTATCTTGATACGGACAATATAAATATTTAAATTTTCTAATCCTTAGTTGTCATGAGATGACTTTGATAATAATACATTGTATGTATTTATTTATTTAGTCATTAATAATGTATTTGAAAACTCATATTCGTGTAAAAAAATTATGCTCACACACACACACACACCTCAACGTAAAGCGTTCGAGGTAAGACTGTCTAGCGTGTACTCTGTAGTTCTATCTGCTATTTCCACTACATTTCCGTTGGAGGCAGTGGTTGTAGAATAATCCCACGTTGATATTTAATCATAAGAAGAAAAAACTGTACCACTATATCGGCATCAAGTAACTCAATATACTACTATCAATGCCAGCTGGTAGTCAACATAGTGTTTACTTTATGTTTATCTAGATCTGTTTTTAAAACAGATATTACTGTTCTAACTTTCTCTATTATTAATACATATATGTATTTGTTAAAACAGATATGTATATGTTCTAACTTTCTGTATTATTAATATTTGTTAAAACAGATAGTACTGTTCTAACGTTCCTTCGGAACTACGTTTTATATCAAGCAAGGTTCGTAGCTTGGACAAAGAAACTCTCACAAAATAGTACTAATCTGTCTAGCTATAGTCAAGCGTTTTGTATATGACAATCAACATTGTGTTTAGCCCCTTGGGACAAAAAAATTAAATTACAATAAATTAATTCATTTATAACCAAAGTTAAGTCTATGTGATATTATACAAGCTACATTGTTATAGTGTCGTTAGTCATAACGATATCACTATTGATAATAAATGTTCTAACTAAACACAGTGTCCAGACTCTTTAAAGAAATGCGATCTCCACAATCTCATGTGTAAAAAAAAGAGTTCCACGATCTCATACTTTCGCCAAGTGATGTTAACCCTTGCGGACGAATTTATTAAATTTTGATCATTGATTTTGCAAATAAGGGCCTCCTTTGCATGGATTATATTAGTTGATCATATTTTCCACCCAATGACAGCCTTATCTTAACAAAAAGGCTATTATAGCACTTCCTCATAAATTATGCTAATGAGGTTATGATTTGAATAAATTATGTTTATTGATGTTCACATTCACTTAATTTCTAAATGTGGCAAGTATGAAATGCCCAGCAGTTACAACTATGAAATTATAACAATATGCCATTAATTATGCAAATTAGGTCTTCATTTACATAATCTATATCCTTTGATATTTTCTCGTTCTCAATTACATGTCACAAATGTTTTATAGTCCCATCATCGAACAAAGCAGATTTAAAGAATTTCCTCATTAATTATGCAAATTAACTCCTGATTTGCATAATTGCCATTTGATTATGTCAAGCATTACTTCAGCTACCTACATACCAAATATCACGACAATCCGTCAACCGGTTCTTGAGTTATCCACCTTCGGAGATTTTTCAAGAAACGCTCCTGCAGTTCCAGAACAAGCAACTAGGGGACCCAAACTCATGTCACTTCTTCCCTAGCCCAAGAGCTATCTGTCATCCAAAATTCGTCACCCTAGCATGTTCAGATCACGAGAATTCAAAACCGGAAGTTCTGCTGCAGTACCTAGGAAAGCCGCCAGGGGGCCCAAAATCTAATCATTTCTAGCTCTTATGAAGACCTACCAACCTACCAAGTTTCATGACAATGCATATTAATCTTCTTGAGTTATGCTGTTCACAGACAGACGGACAGACAGACGGACAAACAGACGGACAAACGCTATTGAAAACATAACCTTCTTGGCGAAGGTAATAAATGTTCTAACTAAATACAGTGTCCAGACTCTTGAAAAAAATGCAATCTCCACAATCTCATGCGTAAAACAAGTCATACTATTACTCCTAAATCTGCATTATGTACATTATGTACATTATGTGACATTAGAACGATATGAAAGTAAATTTTCTGGTTGTTTATCATAAACTGTTACTCGTTGAGCGAAAAAAAAATACTTCAACTCAGGCTCCGTATTTATCCAGCATTATTGATTCAATTGTCAGTAACTGAGACGAATTTACTTAACTGTGCTTTGATTCTAATTTTAGCTTTCAACGACAGTTTCGATATTTACATAAGAGACCCACTCTCTCGAGTCAGGCGGTTAGTGTTTCGTGACGTCACCCACCGCTGACCAATCACGTAGCGCGTGGCCAGTTTCGGTGACGTCACGCGGGTGTACTATAGGAGGGGCTGGAAAGTTTCGGTGCCATTTCCTGCAGACATCGCCTCGTCAACAGGACCGCCTGTACAGCTGTGTGGTCGTCGGGGGAACAAAACGGTGTCCAGACAAGGTACGAAACACTCTTCTGTGATTGTATGTAGCGTTAGTGGTGGATACAAAAGTGTACAGTATCAGCTGGAATATGAAATCGCCAGTGTATACGCAGTGCGGTGTAGGGAAAGGGGGATGGTGAGGTGTGGTGGTGGTAGCCTCCTAGCCTCCGTAGCAGGCTTATAGAACCGGGGGTTTGGTGGTCTTCGGCTGTTTTCTGATTAGCCCAGTTCTAAAAAAACGGGGGTAATTCAAGCAGGCCGGCTATGTTGTCTCTATGCAATCAGAAAATAGCACATAAAAGCTCCCAAAGACCCTGAAGACCCCCAAACCCCCAGTTTTTTGGCATGCTATGGAGGCTAGTAGGCCCTCCGTTATTTGTTTGCAACAACCTGGTCCTGTACTAGTTTCCTGATTGCTGCGGGGTTTCTGACGGTTGTTGAGATCTAATAGCCTCTGTCGGACAGAATTATGTCTTCTCAACAGTCGACAGGATCCCGGAAGTTCGTGTTGTTTGGAAAAAATGTTTCCGGGTTGTGGCTGTTGTGGTTGTTTTTTATCGTCACATTTGTAGCCCACGGGGAGCAACACAGCAATATGAAATGTGCATATCACGTCAATCAATCAATCAATCAATCAATCAATCAATCAAGTGTGGGGTCGTGTGGCGTAGCGGCAGCGTGCTCGGCTCGGAACCATGAGGTCCCGGGTTCGAGTCCTGACATGCCACCGATCTTGTGCCCTTGGGAAAGTCACTTTACACGACTTTCCCGTGTATTGTCTTGTCCTGTATTGGTCCTCTGCGTTGGTGGTGGTATAAAATAAGTTGATATAACTTGAGTATGCTGTCACCATGTCTATCAACCAATCAATCGGTCGGTCGGTCATACGACAAGTAGTTATAGACTTTGATTTATCACGTGAAGTAGGGTACACTTTCACGGTGCACAGACTAATTAATTCTCTCGCGCGATAGAAAAAAAACGTGACAGAGAAAAGGGTTTCGAGGGCTCAGAGTTCATATATTTCTCATAATTTGCTGTGTTACTCGGGTGTGCTTCGTGAGCAAGTGGGCAAGTTTCGGTGCCATTTCGGAGGGAGAGGCAAGTTTCAGTCGCCTTGTTAATAGGACCACCTGTGTGATCGTGCCAAAAAGGGGGAGGGGTGTCCAAACAAGATAGATATGAAGCACTCTTATCATAGACTTATGCTTATGTGATTGTATGTAGCGGCAGTGGTGGATTCAACATTGTTGAGTTGAAACAGTTAACGTTACCTTTCTCTGGTTACGTTTCAGTACGTTACTGTTTGGAACAGGGAATCGTCAGTAGCAGTATATAAGCAGTGAGGGATGGGGGTGGGGGGTGAGGTTGTGTACATGTAGCCTCCGTT